TGTGTCCTCCAGCAGAAAACTGACTCCAGCAGCAGTAGTAGCTCCCCGCGGAAAGAGTAGAAACTGAAGATTGTGGTGTGCATGCCTCACAGCAGTCCTCTGCGACAGTGGAAAGAGTCGCAGCCGTCGCGGACCTCCACTCACACATACACGAGGCTCATAACCTATTATGGATATTGTGGTATACCCCAGCAAGGTGGCAGAGAGGCTGTGTCCTTGACGCTAATCAAGTTGGTGGCACTAGTGTAGTGGACGCCCTGGAAGACGTGAGTGCTTCCGTGTGATGAAGAAGGTGACAAGATGTTGTAAACACTGGCGCATATGTGGCCAACACACACAGATAAACCGCAGAGTATGCAGGAGTCCAGAAGATGGCTGGGTACTGGAGATGACCAGGATGGCTACGATGCCAGACAGTCAGGAAGGATCCACACGAGAGAGTGAGCTACTCGCCAAGGCCTTGGCCCAAGGCAACATAGAATCCTACTACAGAAGAAATTCCTCCGCAAATACAACGCACGTTACATACCAACCGGCACATAACAGATCTACGATGATCTACGACGTACAAGTGCAGTGCTACTGCTGTGCTACTGAACATTGACTCATAATGGCTATGTGCTAACATTTCCATAACAAATATACAAGCACAGCCGTCGATGGTGGTAAGAATCGAGAACACACAGCAGCACACAGCAGCATCACACAGCAGCAGCACACAGCGGCAGCCACCGCCCTAAAACCGATTTGACCTTTCTTTTGCGTTGTACCGCAGCCTGTTGCGCCGCCACCTCCTCACGCTCACCGCGCCACGGTCCCGGCGGCACTGGGCGCGAGACACCGGGTATCGGGGTAGGGCCACAGGGTACAGCACCTTTGTTCATTGTTGTCTGGCGCGTGTCTAGCTAGATATTTCCTACCTAGCAGCAGTACCCGACGATAGAATTTACCACGCGGACACCCGTATCTTCAAGAGACATCGAATGTTGGATGTGAACGTACGTGCTGTAACTAAAAACAGGGAGTGTTGGAGCCCAACGAGCACACATCGTCCGCCACAGAACATCAACCACCAGCACAGCGTAGAAATAGCGGGGATGATCTTGACTGCTGCTGCTGTAGGTTATCGCGGTGCCACGCTCCCGGGTTGTGCATCTGTAGCTAGATGTTTCCTAGCATACGACGACAGCTTTGTTTTTTTCGTGTTCCATGCACGTGCTGATGACTTCCCGCTCACTGCGCCACGGCCGCGGCCGCGCTGGGCGCTGGGCGCTGGGCGCGCAAGGCGCGGCACTGGGCGCAGATGTGGCGTGCAGCATTTGTGCCTCGGTCTCCGTCGATGCTAAATGAAAGCACTGCTGCTGTAGGTTATCGCGGTGCCACGCTCCCGGGTTGTATGTAAGATTGTATTAAACGAAGAAAGATAACTACACCAAGCAAACTTGAGAAAACGGTACCAGGTACGAAGTAGTAGTTTTTCTCTCTCTCTCTTACCCCTCTCTCTCCCATGCGCTACCCACCCCCTCGGCGAGACGTTGTAGCTGAATTAAATTCGCTACTTCTAGGGTGTGTGGTCTTCGTAGGTGATCTGATGTACAGCCGTCGGTGGTGACAATCGGGGTTGAGTACGGGAGGCGAGGAAAAGAAGCGCAAATCATTTACGTACGGTGTTTATTGCAGTAGCACGTGGTGTGTAGAAACTAGAAAACGTTTTCTGCCGAATATGAAAATATGGAAAGTCACAGCAGCAGTAGTATTCCTATATGTTCTGCCAGAGGGTTTTGGGAGTCAGATGACTGTATGCACAGAGGTTCGTGTGTTGGTGTGTGTTGGTGGGATGCGGAGCATGTCTCTGCAGCCGCTCTGCAATAAACTGATGCTGTAGAGCGGTATGTAGATAGGTTGTAAGTAGCCAGAGGATAATTTCCGGAAACAAAAAAAAAAGCGCTTGCATGACACGGAGGAACAAACAGCGTCTTTCATGTTTTTTTTTTTTATCTAGGGCGGGTGTAGTTTTGCAGACAGCTGTGCGCACGACACCGGCCGCTAACCCCCCCGCCTTTCGCCTGGATCAAAAGGGAGACGCACCTAGAGTACTTTGTCTCGTCTCATGCGGAGACTTGGTGGCTTGGCTGTCGTGTGTGGTGTAGGGTGTGTGGTGTGTAGCCAGTGCACACGCACAATCCACGTCAGCTCCTTGCCGAATGTATATATGAATGGCCTGCACTGTCAAGAAACCGGGGCGTGATTGGTGGATCCATGGTAGACGTCGGAGACGCGACTTTCTACCCTCGCTCGCGCTTCACGTAGTCCGCCCCGAGAGCGCGCGGCACGCCGGGAGGGCCCGCGCAACACAGGGCTATCGGTAGGTGCAAGTCTCGCTTCGAGGCGAGGTTTACGGGCGGAGAAACCTCGAAAAAAGGGCTCTAGGCTCACGAGATCATCAGGATTGCATTTCCGTGAATGTTGTTAGCCCTCAGCTCGCAGGAACTTCGTCTAGGTCTCAATAGATGTCCCCTGGCAGTACACGACGACATTTTTTTTTTTTCATGTTGATGTGCTGACTTTCCGCTCACCGCGCCACACTCGCGGCCGACGAGAGCAAGCAAACAAAAAAGACCGAATCGATTGATCGTTCGTCTTGCGCACGGACGCTGTATTTCATCCACACGCCGCCGCCTAACGTTCATCTTCATCAGTGACAGAACCCGAATATGCGCTGAAATCGCGTCGACAAGCCCACAGAATGTACACCAACCAAATCCGATGACCAAGGCAACCAGCAGTTTTTCATTTTTTTTTCTTCGTCTGTCTTCGCGCGTCAAATACAACACCACCACCTAATATTTGAATTTCTCCCGCCTAAAAGGAGCAAGCAACCAAGCAAGTCCTGAAAGCAGCAGCAGCAGCAGCAGCAGCAGGAGCACCAGCACACACCACACATGCCCATCATCCAACCACCACAAAAATACGACCGACCCTGATGGGACGGGGGGAATGAAGTAGGAGCGCTTGGAGAGGCGAGAAAAACGCACCAAACAAGACAAGAGCGAATGAATCCCGCCCGCCCGCCCTCCGTTTTGTTGTCTAGAAAACAAAGAAATGAAAGACCGGAAATGATTCAAGACTACCAAACAAAATCAAAATATACGTGTCTTTTTCTCTCCCGCAGCTAGCTGCGACAATACCGGTCACCATTTCATCATTAAGGAAATACGTACAGCGAACGAGCGTATTTCCTGCTTTCCCTACTCCCGAGAACGTATTTACGTAAGCAAAGAAAGGCGGAGCAACGTTCGTACGCACCGCCTCATCACTGTCTGTACCTGCACAGTATCCCATCACCTCGCGCAAGTCAGCGTAACCGTTCACGATCTCTGTTTTCATTCATGGTTCCATTGGCCCCGCCTTCGCTCCTGCCTGCGACATCAACACCAGCCTCCCGACTCGAATCAAACTCCCCGAGAACGGACTGAAATGGTCCGATTTTCCGATGTACCATAAGTATGTTTCCCGAAGCTTTGGCAAGTTGGCGCGGGTGCCACAACTTACACGCGGCTCTTCCAAGAGCTGAAAAGGAACCAAGAAACAAACAAAAAGAACGGCTCGAAAATACGCACCCCAGACCAAAGCAGAATCGGAGTCCTGCCACCGCTCGCTCCGGGGGCTTCCAAAAGATTTGATCTAAGAAAATGCAACACCAACAAACAACAAAAAAAGCGGGAGCACAGCAGCGGGGTCCCACAAGAACCGGAACAAACCGCAGGGAACGACATGGCAAAACAAACGCCATACGGTTGTAGCACCTGTGTGTATACCCCCACTTTATCGGACTCAAGTCTAATCCTCTCCGATCTCTTGTCTCGTCATCAACAAAAAAAAAAACAGCGCACAACACCGGCTTGGACCTCGCTCGGGCATCATGGTGGTGGGCAACACGTGCGCCATGCAAAAGGGGTGCTTCGCCTTCATTCTCTTTGCTCTGTCTGACACACAAACGCCCGACACAGCATCATGGGGAACTGCCTCAAAACCAAGCCCATCATCGCGGATCTAAAGAGCGAAAACACTGAGAGCAAGGGATTTCAACATCTATCCACGCGCGCACGTCGTGTTGTCCTCCGCGACCACCACCATCAACACCACCCCGCCTCCCCGTATCATCGTCATCCACCACCCTGAATACAAGGGGTGCTTTAACCTGTACATGCTCTTGTCTTTCATTACCCCCCCTCCTCCTGTAGGCCTCTCTCGTATCACCGCTCCCAGAACAACACCAACAACCCAGGCAACCCGTGTTCTTCAGGACCGCCTGGCCAGGCCAACGCGCTCAGGAAAGACAACAATGAGCCACCAGTAGCCCGAACAATCACGGCCTCGGTCTGCTTCGCTTTGCCCCTTTCGTGTGAGCCTCGCCGAGCGGGCGCCTTGCAACTGCTTCCCTCCATTCCCCCCCACCCAAGTACTGCTTCAAGTAGTGCTTCCAACTAGTTCGGTTCGCTACGACACCGCCGCCACGTGGGCTTAACTCTCCCCACATATCCAAAGCCGCGGCTCTCTCTCTTCTCAGCTGGTGGTGTCCTTCTTGCCCAAAAACGAGGTCTCGCTGAAAGAACAGATTTCTGTCACACTTGAGGCCGGTCGCCTTCCAAAGTCTTTTTCGCCGTACGCCTTGGCTACCGCCGCCTTTGTGTTCACGTCGGCTGTTACGCTTTCTTTGCTCCCTGCTCGGTCGACTGCCTCTCCCCCCCCCCGCAATCATCAACCAGGCACAGCGCTCGAGTAGTCTCGAGAGACAGAGAGAGTCTCATGTATGTGCCGGTCCTGTTGGCCGTTTCGTGTCCAAGACGAAACGGCCGCCGCCCGCCGCCGCCGCCGCCAAAAACAAACAAAACAGGAATTTTCTTTCCCGCCGTATAAGCCTTCCTCCCGACAAGACCAGCTCCGGCTGCATACCACAATGCAGTACACATTCGGTTCGACCAGACATGTTCGTATTCTGCCGTTTCGACAGTAGAACGGATGCCGCAGATTCGACGCAACATGGCACGGTACAACAGCCGCGCGCTTGACTCCAGGGGGGGGGGCGGCGGCGACGTCCGCAAAGCAGGCGCTGTCGCCGCACCCCGGCCCCTCGAAGCCGCACGCACGCACTCGCCTCCGCCTGCCTGTCGCCGAGATCGAGAATTTTCGCTCAACGCCCATGGAGGTCCCACGCTCAGCAAGCGCAAAAAACGCGCCGGAGCCCCCAAACGACAGACGGACGGACGCGCCCGGCCGACCGTTGACCGAGACCCGGCGAGGCAGTTATTCGCTAACGTCGTGGAAGCCGACGCTCAGAACGCGCAAGAAGGCGTCCAGGGAGGTAGGCGAGGAGAACAGGCCTCCCTTTCGGAAGGACTCCAGCGGCACCTCCACCACCTTCGCCTTGCTGTCGGAGGTGACTTTCGTAATGCGGGGGATGCCTCTCCTCGGTACGCCGCAGACGAGCACCTCACCTTTTTTTTCAGGGTGCGTGTGTGTGAGAGAGGTTGAGCTGCAGACAACAAGGTCATTTTTTTTTGGGTGGTCTAGGGTCTCGGCGGAGGGGGTGGCGGTATGATGAGGCGTGGGG